AGAGTGCACGTTTATGCAAGCAAAAAAAATGAAGATCGCTTTTGGCAGCTATTCCCCTCACAGTCAATCCTTGACTTCCTCGTGAAGAGAAGTCAACTTTGTTATTCCCTAAAGGAGCCAATACTTGACTTCCTCATGAAGAAAAGTCAACTTTGTTATCCTCGACTCCCCAATAGAGTCAATCTTTGACTTCTTCACGAAAAGAAGTCAACCTTTATTATTTTTGATTTCCTAGTAGAGTCAATTTTTGACTTCCTCGTGAAGAGAAGTCACATATATTATTTCTGATTCCCCAGAGGAGCCAATCTTTGATTTTCTCATAAAGAGAAGTCAATCTTTTTAATTTGATATTCATGAAGCAATGAAGTAAATTAGGTCAGATTTGGTCTTCCTAGCAAAGCAGCGAATCAAATCAACCTTGAGTCTAATCTTCACGGAAGAGTAGTGGAACGAATTCTTCTTATTTCAGATTTGGTCTCTACGGAAGAGTAGTGGAACAAATTCTTCTTATTTCAAATTTAGCCTCCACGTAAGAGTAGTGAAGCAAAGTCATCTTAGCCTCCACGGAAGAGCAGTGAAGCAAATCCATCTTAGAGTTCACGGAAGAGTAGTGAAGCAAATCCATCTTAGCCTCCATGGAAAAGTAGTGAAGCAAAGTCATATTAGCCTCCACGGAAGAGTAGTGAAGCAAAGTCATCTTAGCCTCCAAGGAAGAGTAGTGAAGCAAAGTCATCTTAGCCTCCACGGAAGAGTAGTGAATCAAATCTATCTTAGCGTTCACGAAAGAGTAGTGAAGCAAAGTCATCTTAGCCTCCACGGAAGAGTAGTGAAGCAAATCCATCTTAGCCTCCACGGAAGAGTAGTGAAGCAAATCCATCTTAGCCTCCACGGAAGAGTAGTGAAGCAAATCCATCTTAGCTTCCACAGAAGAGTAGTGAAGCAAAGTCATCTTAGCCTTCACGGAAGAGTAGTGAAGCAAATTCATCTTAGCCTTCACGAAATAGTAGTGAAGCAAAGTCATCTTAGCCTTCACAGAAGAGTAGTGAAGAAAAGTCATCTTAGCCTCCACGGAAGAGTAGTGAAGCAAAGTCATCTTAGCCTCCACGGAAGAGTAGTGAAGCAAAGTCATCTTAGCCTCCACGGAAGAGTAGTGAAGCAAAGTCATCTTAGCCTCCACATAAGAGTAGTAAAGTAAATCCATCTTAGCCTTTACGAAATAGTAGTGAAGCAAAGTCATTTTAGCCTCCACGGAAGAGTAGTGAAACAAAGTCATTTTAGCCTCTACGGAATAGTAGTGAAACAAAGTCATTTTAGCCTCCACGGAAGAGTAGTGAAGCAAATCCATCTTAGCCTCCAAGGAAGAGTAGTAAAGCAAAGTCATCTTAGCCTCCACGGAAGAGTAGTGAAGCAAAGGCATCTTAGCCTCCACGGAAGAGTAGTGAAGCAAAGCCATCATAGCCTTCACAAAAAGAGTAGTGAAGCAAGAACATATCAAAGTTGATCTCCACATAAGAATAGTGGAATGAATTTCCCATCAAAGTTTGAAGTCTACTGGATGAAAATTGCTTGTCTTTTTATCTTTGCTATATTATTGTTAACACAAAAAATGACCAAAGAGGGACAGTTGTCGATAGTCATTTTCGTCCCGTATTTATATATATTATTATTATTATTATTATATTATTATTAAAAATAATATTACAAACCCGAAGAACCAAATACAAAAAAACCCAGAGCCCATTTACAGTATCTGATCCAGACCTATGAATAGATAACACAATAATTAGGGTTTCTACATAGTTCCAACCACCAACATCCTCAACCATTGGATATGGAGAGATCCAACGGTCCAGATCTAATCTACCAGAAACTCTAGGGTTCACCAACCCTAGAGTTATTCCGACCGTCGCCTCCAGGTGCTCCAACCAGATGCTGTCATACCTCCACCAACTTGACGGAAGACTCCAGAAGCCACAGGAGAATCGCACAGCTCACTCCCTATGGTGAGTCACCATCGTAGATCCGATAACTCACTGAATGAACGGTTGTCTGAGGCCTTCCGAGGCCTATAAAAAGCCTTGAAAAAAAGCAAGAAATTAGACACGAAGAAAAAAGAGCAACAAAGAGAAAAAACACCAAACAGAAACAAAACGAGGAAAAACTATAGCAACCAACGAGCAACAAACCAATCGAAAGGAAAGAAGAAACTTACCGAAGAGCACAAACGTTGCCAGAAACCATCGTTAACCGAAGGTATAAACTTAGATCTAAGAGGTTTTAGGCTTTTTTAGGAATAAAGAAGGTCGTATTTGGGACGAGGGAAAGTCGATTTACGATTTGAGCTATTTTTATTTTTTTCGGCTACCATGAATAGTGACCGAAAAAGTGATCTGCGGTGATCGACCCTTCTTATAGAGAGAAGAAAAATTGAGAAAATGAAAAGAATTGGCCATTTTGGGCCAAATTTGGGGTATTTATACCCTCCTCAAAACTAAGTCGTTTTGGGGAGGGATTTTTGGGGAGGGACTATCTGGGTAATTCAAAATGGATAAACTATACCATTGGTCCCTATAATTTGTAAGCCTAGCATTTTAATCACTAAATCATGTTTTTTTATTTTAATTTTGTTTTCGTATTTTACTTTATTTTATTTTAGTCTCTACCTGTATATTTACATATATTTAGAGTAAATAACATATTTAGTACCTGATATTTTAGCTATTTAATATTTTAATTTTAAATAATATTTTAAGATTATTTACACTAATAATACCTAGATTTCATGATATTTAGAATTAATATTTTTAATTTTGATATTTTACAATTTTAATCCTTTAGTTTTAAAAATAATTTTAATATTATTTTTAGAATTATTTACTATTATAGTACTTTGGATATTAAGTATTTATTAATAGTAACCTATAATTTTGATATTTTATTGATTTAATCATTAAATTTATTATGTGTGTTTGGGTTATTTTATTTTATACGATAAATTATAAAATATTTCCTTAACTTATTAAGAATTTATTTCAAATGATTTATTGGTGTAAAATAATACCCTTGATATTTGTTGATGGGATCATAAATTAAATTAAACTTAGATTTATAAATTTTTACTGGAAAGGCATTAATTAATTAATAAAGGTACTAATTTTGGGCGTTGTGGGGATGTTAATCATTCCCTACACGTAATCGACTCCCGAACTCATTTTCTGGTAAGCATACCCTTTTTGTATTATTTTAATAATATTTTTATAAATTTTATTAAAATAACATAGCATTTTTAGTGAGCAATCACACCTCGATAAATGATTGGTGGTGACTCTTCAAAATTGTGTTTTATCTTATGCTAGAAGAAAAACACTTACTTTTTCGAGACGAGATTTAGAAAATAACGACATTTGTTTTCGCCGGACGAATATCGTCTCGACGATAGGAAAATAGAATAGCGATGATTAAACTATCCATTTCTTCCATCTTCATGGTTTGTGTATCGTATGTATAATTCTTTTAGAAAAAAATCAGATGATTTTCTTAAAGTTTTAAGCTTAGAATGAGAAAACCTCTATGATAGTTATATGCTTTTTTTGTGTATTCATTTTAAAGATTCAAACAATCAAAATGGTTTAACTTATAAGACAATAGTTTCTCTACGGAACGATCAAAATTTTATTTATTTTTTATTAATTTACTTCTTTTATCAGTATTAACAATTTATTTCGCAATAGTATATTTTCCAACAAAGGTAACATGACAAGGCGTAGTAATCATTATAGTATAGTTGAAATGAAAATTGGAAAAACATAGATCACGACCTAAATTCACGTGTGGATAAATTTACGCATAATAAAACTTGAGCTCAAGGGGTTGCAGGGCCTCAATCTTACTACCATTGAGCTAAAGCTCAAGAGGTTGTAGGGTCCCAATCTTACCATTGAGTTAAGGCCTTGTTGACCATACTTGTAAATTTATCAATATTATTGTATTTATTAAATAGGTACACCTTTAATTCAATATGATTTTTTATAGTATAATGATTTAAAGTAATATCTTCTTCAATTTATTTAACGGTGGAATAGTTTTCACATAAAATAAAACAATTAGATATTCAAATCTATTCAGAACTGTTTGGTGAATACACTGATCAGTATGTAGATAAACAAATGATGCATTGTTACTTATTTAGTAGTAATGGAGAAATATACGGAATTAAAGTAATCATAGACATCAGTTATGTTTGTGTGAATTATCATCAAATTCTAATGGACCGCCCATTACTGCACGAAGGAAGAGATCAGAATGCAGTGTGGGGTTTTGGTGGGAATTAGAAGGAGATGACGGCAGGCCACCAGCTCTTGATAATAAATTACAAAATGCAATTTAGTCCACAAAATACGAAGTTTAATTACTATCAACCTAGCGATGGTTTTTCACAGTTAATTTCTAAAATTTTTGGGGACCATTTATTTAAAAAGATTTTTTTTGAATTTTAGACTCGCAGGTTAAATTTTGGCGCTTTAATCGCAGGCTAGAGGAACTAAGCAATAATGGTGAGTGGGGAAAGAGAGAAATGGTAAAACTGTGGGGGAGCAATTTTCCACATGTGGATGGGTTCCTATAATTATGGTGAAATAGAACACAGTATCATACAATCCAAAGCCCCACTTTCTGCTCACTCTCAGCCCCATTCCTTTACAATAAAAACAGGTGCAGAAATATGGGGAAAACCCGACTCAGATGCCACTCTGCTACGGTGGCTGGCTGGCATTAGAGTGAACCGTCTAAAGGTTGTGTTTTTTTATAACAAGTGCTAATCACAATCCTCAATATTACTCCCATGCATAAAACCAAAATTTCTTGCTAATCACAATCCTCAATATTACTCCCATGCATAAAACCAAAATTTCTTAAAACCCAAAGAGCTTTTTTTTTTTTTGTAATTAGTGATCAGTCACTTTCATGGGGTTCTCAAAGAGAAATGCAGCTACTGCAAGTCGACTTAAAAGGACTAGCCACGTCGAATCCCGGTGAAGTAGTTGAAGTCATGGTGCTGGACTCTAAGTTGCTTCAGCCATGAATCCGCAACGCTTAATAGTGACACCAGTCTTTCTTGGTCCCGTCCGGAATTGCCCGAGACCCACACATTTCCTTGCATCTTGTAAGTTGCCAAGCCAAACGGTGGAAGAGAGATGCCTTCCCCTTCCTTTCGCTTCCTTTCGGGACTCTCCGTGTCATCTTCCAGGTCCATATCTGCACCAACAATTAACACATCAGAAAAACAAGCATACATTAATATCTAGGAAGCAATTAGCTTGACACTGCTTTTAGGAAAGTAAAGAGCACCTTGGAAAGAAGATGATAGAGTGTGATATGTAAGGAAGCATGTCGACAAGTCTTTTATTGTCCTTCCCATGGGAATGTGATAAATCGGGTACCTAATATCATCAGCATCCATAAGTTGAATCATATTAATTTCATCTAACATGTCGAGACTAGGTTATGAATTGTTTAACATGTTCAATGTGTGTATTCGTTTGTAAAAAGAAAGGAAGGGATAGAAGAGGACCAGGAAACTGCCATCCAACTAGCCGGTGAAAGATCTACGCTCCTCAATGACATCAAACCAGGATATCTTCTCGACAATCCACTAATCTGTAAAATAAAAAAAAATAAAAAAGAGAGTACCATAGCACATCACCAATAGAATCCAGAAGCCTTTAACCGAAAATAAACAGATAAGATGGTCGCAATCGTGTCCAAATTTAAAGTCACAAGGACTTTAAGGAATCACTTATTCTTCCCTGTGACGAGTAAATGTTCAAAAACAACTTCATACGAAAAAGCAAGCATTTATGCTCATGTAAGGATTAGATATAAATTGATAATATCCTTGAAGGAAAAGAAAATCTGAATATGTAAAGCAAAAAAGATAAAAGGAAATGGAATTTTCCTGTTCAAAGGTCAAAAGTTTTATTTCATCTTTATAAGATGCTATATTCTGACAAATACATAGCTACGTTTTCTTGATCTTATCAGTTCCATTAGATAACCAATCTTAAGGCAGGTGAAATGCAAGATCAAAGCAAAGAGACAATCTATTCAGTAAAACCGAGGATGGTATAAGGCAGGAATTTAAATTACAGTTGCAGCCGCAGTTATACGACGGCAGCTATTCTGATAATAAGAGACCGCTATTTAAATCCCCGGTATAAGTCCAGGAACCAGGCAAAAAGGTACCTTATCCATGAGTGGAACTCTTCCATAAGGAGTTGATCTCTCGAAATACTGAAAGTAAAGGTAACCCAATCTATTATTCACATGCCAAAGGCTGTCGTGCTCGGAGCCGCCTTCCTCCGACGAGCAGCCGTCCCATCTCCATAACTTGTCACTCTCGCTCTCATCACTCAATGAATCACTAAACGAATCCCTCTCGCAATCACCCGATTCAGATTCATCCCTGAGTAAGATTTCGATAAGATAACTGATACAAAAATTTTCCAACAGCCAAAAAGATTTTTACCTGAAGCTGTTGACCGAAGAGTCGCTGGTGAAGATTTGAATGGCGGAGAGATAAGGAACGTAGTATTGTACTAAGGTCTCGCCGTTGTTCAAGACAATGGGAACGCCGGCACCGTACGCACTCCACTCGTCGTAACAATTCCAAAGATCACCCAATGTGAAATACTCGACCTTTTCTCTTTCCCAAGGGTGCCATAAACGATTAAGGTTCCTAATCTCACTCTGCGATAACAAACATCATAAAGAGAGAGTTTGGTTTATTTATCTTGTTTTTGTTTTTGTCTCTCTAACTCAACCCTGAAAACAGAGGAACCAGAAAAGAAAAAGAAAAACACAAAACGAAGGGTAGGAGGAGGAAAGGTAAGTCGAGGGAGAGAGAGGAAGAGAGAGATTGTCGCGGATTTGGTTATACGATGGGAATCTGTGACTCGAGATAAAGTCTAAATTTTGACGCAAAGACAGCTAAATTTAAGGAAACAGAAAAGGAAGAGAAAATTAAGATCAAACTCCTGTTGGTTGACAATGTTGTCCAATTCAACTCTTTTCCGGTCACCGGTTGTTTTGGATATTAGCCCTTTAAAAAACTTAAACTTTGTTTTCTTCCTTTTAAACTTAAAGAAAACTCAAGCCTAGTATGCTTTGAGCAACAATGAAGAAACAAGTTTTCTTCTATCTTTTGCCCAAAAAACACGACCCTTCAACGCTTTAATTCCTCTAGTTAAATACAGAACAGTTCGAAATACTCATATTCCAACACCAACAACCCAAAAAAAGACATATAAGAAAACAAGAGAAGCTAAGGGAAAGCTTTGATTCTAATAACTTCAAGCTTCTTCTTTCTAAATTTCAACAGACACCCATGATTTCTGGGTAAAAGATTCGTTGTTTCGAGTCTTTTCAGTAGTAGAAAATGAAAAAGAGAGAGAACTTTTTTCAGGGAAACAAAAAACCAGAGCACAACCACAATAGACTGTAGACTGATGTGAAGAGACAGAGAAGAACAGAGCGAAAAATATCGGTTTTACGGACAGAATTAATCGGTCTCTCTATGCTTTCTAGAAACAACCATAAAAAACTACATATCAATCAAAGTCGATAATAATTATGGCATCTAATTTTTCATATTTATTATAGAATTTATCACTCTGAAAAATATAGAAATAAAACATTTTATTTTTTCCCAAAACACTTTTAAAAAAAATTAACGAACTTTATTCTTTAAGAATATATTAACAATTTCCTTGGTAAATTTGTTTATTTTTCCCCAATATTTTAGTATAATTTTTAATTTCAATGGAACCAAGTCCATGGCTTGGATGACACAAAAATTAAACATCGGCAACATCATGAATATTAAAATATTGTTATAATTTTTTACAAGGAATAATTCGACTTTTTGCATTTTGTCAAATTTAGGTTTTTCTTTTACTATTCATGAGCTATTCAATCCATCATAAACGGATCTAGTTTATTGTTTTATTAAACCAATTAAATTTATTAAAATGATATTTATTTTAAAAACGTTTGTCACTTGTTCCTATATGTAATGGGGTAAGGGGGAGGTAAGATAGTAGGTTGCCCCCAACACTAGATTGAGAGCAGCTTCCGTAGGAGACCTCCGAATTATGAAATGCCCTCCATGGGGCTCCTTTATTAACCATTAAATTTATTAAAACGATATTTATTTTATTGTTTAGTTAACATTTAGGAAGTTAATTGAATCATAGATCCTCAAACTATGATCCTCATTTTAAATTTATCCTTAAACTTAAACATTCCAAAATCCATCCAAATATGTAATTAGTTTCAACCATAGTTTAACCTAAATTTTATTTTTCTTCAAACATGTAGCAATATAACTTGGCCTATCGATTTTTTTAACAAGGGATGTGATTAGTATATACATATCATTTGGATCAAAATTAAAATGTTCAAAAAGTTTGGGGATCAATTTAGAATGATGATCATAGTTTGAGGATGAAATTGAAATGTTCAAACTTTGAGGACTAATCTAAAATGATAGTCATAATTTAAGGGTGAAATTTAAATGTTTAAAATTTTAGGATGTGTCGAAGGATTAGTTTATACCGATATAAGGTGTTCAATTCTAATTTATTTTTCATGTAATTTGAAATATAAATTTTAGTACAAATAATAAATATTAAAGATATTTTAAAAAATAAATTAATTCTATGAAATTATACAAATAATACATTTTGTTACTGTTAATTTGTTTCTTGTTCGATAAGATAAAATAAATAAATTGTAAAAATGTTGAACGATTTAACAAACAAGCTTCGCAATAAAAAAAGATTAAACAGGGGATAATTACAAATAAATAAATAGATTGTAAAATGTTGCACGATTTAAAAAATAAGCCCTGACAATAAAAATTGAAATTAAGAATAATTACAAAAAATAAAAAATAATAAATAAATGGACACGTGGATTACATGCCTACAAGATAGCAAGAAAAGGAACAAAATTTCATGTGTTTAGCATTAGCTGCCCAGAGTATTGCTTTTGAACCCACTCCGCTTCTAATTTTATAGTTTTAATATTTTAATCTGAAAATGATTTTTTCCTTTATTTGATTGAACATAGATCCCAAACTATGATATTATTCTTGATTGATTTCTAAATTTAAAAATATTCTATATCACTCTCAAAGTATGTTTTCTATTCTAAATTGGTCTATAAACTTTAAAATTTTCTATACAATCCTTAAACTATTAATATCATTCTATTTTGATCTTTTTATTAATGCATAGTCAACTCTGATTTTTAAATGTCTTGAGAATTAAATTCATTTAAAAAAAATCTATTCGTGAAGGTTAACTCTAATTTTTAAAGGTCTTGAGAATTAAATTTATTTAAAAAAATTCCATTGTTGAAGGTCATGAGAATTGAACTCTTGATATTATAGAAAAAGTTAATCTATTTTTAAAGGTTTGAGAATTTTTTATAATAATGTGATTTCGATATCTAATACTTAAAATAGATTAACGTTTTTAACTAGTAAACTAAACGACATGTTAACGAGATGATCAAAATGAAATCATATTAATAATTTGAGGATTGATATATAATGTTTTAAAATTATACTTAAAATTATGTTCTAGTTTTGTTTTGAGCACCCGATGTTAAAAAATTAATGTTGTTATTGACGTGTCATCGTAAGATAATGTTATGTCATCATGAAAAAATAAAAAATATCACGTCAACAATTCTATTTATTTTTTGACGGTGTGTAACCAAAACTAAATCAAAACATAATATTAGGCATGATCTGAAAGAAAAAAACTGAATGATCAAAATGAAATTAAAGTGTTAATTAGTGGACTAGATACATAGTTTACGCTTTTATTTTAGTATTTGAATGATAAATTGCATGGGGACCGGGGGATTTGTCGGGAAATGTCATGAGATCCGAGAGAGTGAATGGTTATTGGTCAGGTTTGGGTCAACTCGACCTAAAAATTATATTCTGATTTAAAATCGACTTGATTTTTTAAGATAAAATATAAATTAGATTTGAGTCGAAATAATAAAACATATTTTTAGTCAATAAAAATAATGATTTAATTGGAAAAAAATAATATATAGAAAATATTATGTAATTACTCTTATATATAAGGTAAAATTATATTTTTTTTCAGATCGAATCGGATATTTTTCGTCTTAAATTCGAATCCAACCCTACCCGACCCGAATTTAATTTTTTTTTAAAAAAAAATCGAGACCCGTGGGGTTCGATTCGTATGGCCATGTATGAATCTGAAACTTGTTTTGCTTCGTTTGGATAAGAATTAAGATGACGGATTTTTTCTTTGGTTGCGTCTAATGTCCAAACTGTAAATCATCATTCCAATGTCTGTAAATAATCATACCCCAACAGCCATAGAGCTCAGTAAGTTGCAGTTCAGTGAACGAAAATATAAACACAAAATACAGTGTGAAAAACATGGCCTGACATGACGTGACATTTAACATAAATACAAAGATCTTAAAAATTCAAATACTTTTGTCCGAAATTTATTTAGATCTTGTAGAATTATAAATATAATTAGGTATTTATATTAAATTATTTTTAGAGTTAGAAGAATTATTAAAAAATAAATAGATTTTCAGGTTAAAATTGTTTTTCTAAAACTGATTTTTTTTAAATTTTCAGGAAAATGAGGAGTAAAGTTGAGGTTTAAAAGTAAACAAAGAAATGTACAAATTGTGGCTATTTGTTGTCCTCTGCGTTTAGAGTCTCATCATACATGCTTCGAGCTCGACTTGTCACGTCCCAACCCCCAAACCAAAATGGTCCCCGTTTCTCTCTCTCTATATATATATATTTATATTTTTTTATATTTTCAGGTTGGGATTATTTTATTAGTGGTGGTGAATTTTTATTAGTATAAATATCTAGCGGTAAGATGATGCCGCCAATTACATCATCTATTGTAACTTGTTCCAGAAATTATGCAGTAAAACATGACACATTCACGAGAAACTCCTCGTATTTATACGAAAAGTGCGGTGTAATTAAAATATACTTTTAAAAATATATTTTTAATAAGATAAATAATTATTTTAAATATAATATTATAAATTAAATGATGATATACCATATACTATTTAATATAATAATTTTAAAAAATGAATAATTTAAATTAGGATAAAAATGTAGAAATATTTTTTTAAATGAAAAGATTATAAATTTCAATGAAAAATCTAAAATTTAAAATGATTTTTATCTAAAATAGTTGATAAAATTATAAAATATTATAGGCGAGAAAAAATAGAAAAATGTAATTGGTTGAAAATTAGTTAGGAATATATGATATTTGTTATAGTGAATTAGGTACTCATCGACATGACGAGTTCTACTATATATAAAAATGTAATTGTTTATATATTTTTGTTCGAATTTTTATTAGGTTTTTAGTCTATCTTTATATAGTCCATCTTAAGTTATAGTTTTTGTTTAAATGATTATAGGAAATTATACTAAGTATGTGCTTAATTTATGATTATAATTGTAAGTATTCATTGTGATTTGAGATATTTTATATTTTGAATAAAATTAATAATTTCTATTAAAAAGAAAATATATTAAATGAGCCTTAGAACATGTCTTAACAAATAACAACTAATAATATTATAAGAATCAAAACGGTAATCTATTCAATCATTTCATTAATATTATTCAATTAGTAAGTTTTTGCAAA